TTTCTGGTTCATGATAGCATGGACTTCAACTGCTTTGATGGTTGTATAATACAACCCAGAAGAGAGAAAGCCGAAAGTGTTTCCAATATACGCCTTTGGCTGTTGATATTGGTGGTAATGCAAAGATACTCCACATTATGATCATTTCTAGTTTCAATATGGTATTCGTTCATTCGAATGTCTTTAAAGCTGAGTAAATTTCTTCTTGATCTCAAAGAGTACAAAGCATTATCAATGGAGAATTGAGTCCCATTGGGTAACAAAATTTGAGCTCTTCTAGAGCCGTCAATTAGGTTTGCAGAACCTAGTATGATAGTTACCTTTGCTTTTGATAAATGTAAATTGTCAAAATATTTTTTATCTCGAAGAATTGTGTGCGTAGTTGCACTATCCGCAAGACAAATATCTTCGTCATTTCTCCCAAGACGAGAGGATCCATGATTGTGTTCCATGCCAAGAGCTTTCGTGCTGATAACGTGTTGTAAAACTAGGGAATTTGTAGGGAGAAATATGAGGAAGAAAGAGACAGTATAATTTGCTCAAATCAACTTATATTCCATTCATATAGCTTGCCACTATTTATAGGGGTAGAGATACTTAAATCATTTACCACCCATAATTGGTAGGTTACAAATATCTAATGATGAATATTATGATAGGTTAATGGTGGCTATTATTGTGGGCATTCATAACTTATAAACCCATAACGTATGAATTTATAACAAATTGTAACTTCTTTCTCCATCTCTTCACAGTATCTACGGACCATTTAGTCATCTCACAACATTTGGGTCTTTTTTGTTTTCATTATTCTTCTTCTTGCAGAAAATATGTGTCCTCATCTATGAGAAAAATTGTACTCCGGTTCCATAGGCCGTGGTCATTGATTGACCACTCCTCATTGAGCATTGTACTACAGTTCCGTAGGCCGCGTGGTCATTAATTGACCACTCCTCATTGATCATATTGCCCTCAAATGCAAAGTGATACCTTTGTGGCACAGTACTGAATCCTTTTTTCATAGGATTCCAAACAACCAAAATTAGAAAATCCTCCAATACAAGGCTTACAATATTACTATTGTTTGTTTTTTGACTGAAAAACTAATATTTTTTCTTCCGAAAGGAAAATTAATTTTCATTAATTAACATATATAGTCATCCACATTCTGAGGAATAATGTTTTAGTTTCCTCCAATATTTTCATGTTTATGTACAATACAAATTTTTTATAGAATGTAAAAGGTGAAGTACCATTGGGTGTTGTGAAAATGCATTGCATTCTCATGAGACAGATGCAGTAACATTAAATATTTGCGTTGGGAACTAGACATGATATGGTTTTTCATCCAACATTTATGTACATTTTAGTTTCATGAGAAAAGTATTTTTCTTCTGCTTTTTTTTTTTTGGACGAAATTTTCTTCTGCTTAAGTTCACGAGAAAAAGGTTAATAATATATGACATAAATTATTCCTCCTTTTTGGTATTGTAGAATAAACGTGATTGTTAGGTAACTGTATTTCATAAAGATTTTGGCCCTAACTCAATCCATGTGTAATGGAACAACATGTGTAAAATAAAAGCCATGAATGTATCATGCATAAGCTTTGTCGGCATATTAAGCTTTGTCGGCATTATACTTTGTCGCAGATGAGCACATCTAACGTACACGACAGAACTTCTCCAACAAGAAAATGCCAATCCCCAAGCAAATTGTAAACCGTGTAATGGTAGTCTCAACCTACATCAAGACGAAGAAGCATCAGCAATCTAACAATGAAGATGACTAGATTGAGATTTGAGAAATGCAGAACAGCTACAGGAAGTCTTACTTTCTGATAAACACTTGAAATCAGAAAGGGAAGGAAGTGAAAAAGATTAAATATTACAATTAATCATTCAGTTCATTTAGATGGGCTCATGATGTTTTCTCATGAAAACTAGATTAATTGCCTCACCTCAGTTTTTTAATGCATACTCAAGTCTTCAAAGATTGATATTGCAGAAAGCTAAATGCACAAAACGGTATTACCCTTTAAAAATGAAGAGGACATCTGCATAATTGAAATTGGTTTCTACAATTTCAGATCTTGTATCTTCTGTAGGCTCTGAGGCTCTTCTTTCACAGGTTCCAGGGTTTCGATCGGAAATACAAGGTTTTGAAGATGATGAACAACCTTCAGAAAATGGTTTACAAATGCCGTGTCTCAATGATCTTAAATGCTGTCCAGCAGAAATGACCAGCAAATCGTCCGAGTATCTATCAGCATCTCTGACCGCGAGATCCTCTGCAACAACATCATTTCCAAATCCATCCATTACACTATGAGAATATAATGCATACATGTAAGCATGGCAGAAAGAACTCACTTATAAACTGAATAAATCGACGACTTATATAACTAGTCAATGTCAATAGACGGGTGAAAATGTCATCCATCGATGAGTAGAATCCCAGACTATCAAAAAGAAGACTTGTTTTCCTCACAGTATCATTATAGGCCTGATACAAACACCTATATTAGATTTTTAAGCACAAGGTCTGAATCAAACTGACAAAACTAAGGATGCCAAATTGAAACTTCAAACCCCCGTATACCTTATTCCTTATGTGGGATAACATAAAAAAGAAATAAAAAAAATGGATAAGCTAATTATAATTTCTTAGCTAATGAAAGTCTTGGGAGAATTAGGTTCGTTTTTTTTTTCTCCAGTTAGTTTTAAATTTTTTACTTATCGTGAATTCAATGGGGGATCCAGAATTCAAAAGTCAGTATATAGGCGAAGCTTATGTTAAAAACTCGACGGTACGAGTGAATTTCATTAATACACATAAAAATATACACCTAACTAGACATGAGTGACATACTAAGCCTTACCCTCAAATATGTATCTCTATACAAAACAAAGTTTTCATATGTGTGGGGGCTTCTCACAACATATAAATAATAAAAATTCAAATTCTCACAAGACATACAAAAACCCAAAAATCATATTATCTATTCATTACAATCATAATTGTCCTCGACTAGTTTTCATATTTTGAAATCATAAATAAAATTAAAATTCACCAACACAAGTTTACAAGTTCACAATTGCAACAAAGGGACATACAATTACATACTAAGCAAGAAAATTTATAAGGAATAGACAAGTACATACTTAGAGTTGAATATCGATTAGCAAATATCTCTAAAAGCCCAATAAAATCAATAGAAAGAAGAAATCAAAATTTCACAAACTAAAAATAAACATAGGTAGAGAGAAAACAAGAGAAAGAATAACAAATTGTAATTAAATAAATTAAACTAATTAAATTTGATATGGAGTTTGAGAGAAAAACTCACAAGCAGTAAAAAAGTGTGATACATGTATGTGCCAAGAAAAGAGAAAAAAAAAAGGATAAATTTTTAACAATTTATGTCAAAAGGTCATACATAATAATAATAGGTATAAACCTTGGGGGTATGTTTTTCTTCTCTTTATTTTTTCTTTCCCACTTGTTTAGTCTAGGAGCCACATGATTGTACTTTTGGAGTAGGCGGCAGTGTACTTCTGAAGTGGGCCCCACATGATTGTATATGAGTAATTATTTATTTATGAAAAATTGGAGTAGGCGGCAGCCTACTCTGCCCTTGGCGTAGGACCGCCACTGCGTGAATTGATGAAAATGTCCTTAAAAAAATATCACATGTAGTATGCGACTTAATTTAAAAGAAATTTTTAATGGAGTTAGATTTATGTGGTAAATTCCAACACTTTATATAGTTCATGTGGTTATAAGTAAAAATTAAAAGTTTAGGTGGTAATCTCGCACATGTCTAAAAGTTCATGTAGTATTTATGCAAAATTCCCTTATTATTATTATTATTTTTTTATATTTCTAAACTGGGTTAACGGTGCGGGTATATTTATCTCTCTCTCTCTCCTCTCCCTTCTCCTCGCTCTCGTCTTCATCCCACACAAACACTAAACACATGTTCCTTCTTCCTTTAACGTTTCTTCCTTGAACCTTTCTGGGTTTCTACGTTGTTTGCTCCTTTGTTATCTTTCCTTTAACCTACTTCCCAGATTACGAAAAAAAATTTGTAAATTACAAGAATTTCAAGGAACTTCATAAATGGGGAGTCTGGGGTGGTGGGTTTCGATGTTAAATTGTAACTTTCCATTGCAGGTGGTTCTTCTTGTCGATGCTCACAAGAAGTGGTTTTTTATTTTCATCTTGGTGAACTCTGAATTTGGTCCCCTCCTTTTTTTTTTTGTTCGCTCTGTGTGAGTGTTATAGTTAGGCGTGGGCACGGTTCGGTTTGGTCCGGTTTCACCCTCAAACCACAGCTGAACCAATTAAACTTTCACGGTCCGGTGTGGTTCGGTTTGAGCTAAAATCAAAATGAAAACCAAACCAAACCAAACCATTCATATCCGGTTTGGTGCAGTTTGGTTCGGCCGGTTTAGGCATAAAAGAAAACGTCTTACAATAACAAAGAACCTATTAACAAACATCCTAAAATAGAAACTGATACAGCTACAAACATCAACATTTTCATGAAATAATCCGAATCTCCAATACATCAAACATGGAAAGTTAACCAAATTTCCAGTAAAACAAAGTTCAACATACAATCCCACATTTGCATACAAATAGAAATAAACTTCAATATCCAACTAATTAATACAAATCAAACTAGAATTTTCAAACACCAAAAAACGAAAAAACAATAAGCAGCATGTCTTCATTTCCATTCTCAATCACAAGAAATATGTAAAGGCCCCATAGCATTTGATTTCTTCATCTCTACATAAGAAACACAATCACAGATTTAGTTTCAACATAATAAACACACAAGTTATTATATAATAAACACACAATTGAAAAAAAAAACAAACTTAAACCGTATTTCCCCTATTTTATTATTATTGTTTCTATTTTTCTTAAAGTTCTTTTGGTTTCAGGTTTATACAAGATTCAAAAGGAAGATAATTTTCCCTTGAATTGACAAACCAACAAAAGAAGTCTCCAGTCAACCAAAAAGACAAACCAGCGAAAAGAAAAAAAAGGAAAAAAAAAGGAGTAAAGCCAAGAGAAAAAAACACAGCCAACCAAACTTGAAGAAGAGAACTCCTTCGCACAGCCAAGCCAACAAAAGGGAAGTCACGAAAAAAAA